CGACGTCCGTCTCTGCTCCCGAGAACTCTTTATATAGAAGTCCTACGGCTGTCAGAAATCTACCATCCGGGTAAGGAACTGTTCGTGGTTTTAGTCGTTTTCCCGCCTTAATAACTTCACCGTTTGTGACCTTAAGTGTATCCCTTATGGGAGGCTCGTTGCAAAGTCAGGGGGAATTAGAAAAAGCTTGCCAAAAGTCTTTTTTATTTTGTTCTCTCGTCTAAGTATTTTGCTAAAGTTTTAAATTTTCCCTCCGACGAGTGTGTGGCAGACTTTATGGGTGCTCGTTGACCGCTTCTAGAAAATTTTTTGTTTTTTTCTCTTCAGCAGATAACCTTTTTTCCGGAGAATTGCTTTACTTATTTTGAATTATATGAGGTTCTTTATCAACCTCGTCTCACTATCCTGTGCTAACATTCCTCACACGCCCTCCGGCTCTCAGGCATTTTTTTCTCGGGTTCCCGCAGTGGCGTCGTTCGACGCGACTTCAGCGCTACTAGTGTTTGACGACCAGGGTGGTTATCACTGACTTGGAAGCTTCTACTAGTAATGCACAAAAGCTAATTATGAATGCCACGCTTCCTTATCTTTCTATATAATTTTTTGGCCCTCCTCTCCTTTGGAATCACAAAAGCTGTTTGGGTGGAAGCTTAGGTTGCGTAAGAAAGGTTCTGATTCTCAGTTCTATTCAGTGGTTGCTCAGGCTTACTTCATTCTGAAGCACTATCCAACCTTCAATCTAAAAAGCGACAGTCGAGTTGCATATCGCATATGAGCAGGATTCATGTGGGGTTCTCCTTGTTTCCTATGGAATATGGAGGCTCGTTGTTCGCCTTGATTACACTATAGTTGGCCACCTTCTCCACAAAAACTCGATTTCAAGCGTTTGTGTTCCTTGAGCTCCATGGCAAAAAAGCCACATTAAAATTTGCGGTCAAGATCATAAAAAGTGTCTCCGGGCCCTCTACCGATTCAGGGAGCTATAAGCTAGTCCAATGCTTCTAGCAAACCACTAGGTATGCTTTAGCAGAAATAAAACTTACCAACATCCCTGATTTGCGTTTAATAGGACCGTGATTTCATCCCTGGTTCAGGCCCTTTGTTTGATCCACTTATTATGCAGCTGTAAGTCAATTTATCCACAACTCAGTTCCCTTTTGTGTACACAAGTGCTACGTTGAGTTTGCTCGACTTATTACTAATGATGCTATTTCTTTGAGAAGGTGCTGCGTGATGGCAGTGTGTTTGTGTGAGCCCAAGCATTTCTTTGTTCGGTTGCTAATGACGTTTCTAATTCCTCTTGTTGTTTTTTATTGGCGGTCGTCAGTAATATAGCGAACCTGGACTCTTGTTCTTCTTTTAGCCCTCTCCATTGGGGCAGTTCAAATCGCCTCGGGTTGTCTTACAGAGTGTAGTAGGAACGTTCAGCTGCGCATGTCCTTGCCACGTGTCTAAGTACGCTACAGCTGTAGCATCTTACCGCATCACGTTTGCAATCTAGCAGTATATATAACCTATTTTCTGGTACCTCATGCAACACGGCATAAACACCCATTCTCTCTATGGGTAAGAAGCCTATCTCATGATTGCGAGCATATTTATGCCGGTCAGCTATCGCTATTCTTTGACTGTCTGTTAGTTTTAATAGGTCCTCGCGGATAACATTCAGGGATCGCAAGGAGCCGAGGGAACTATCTGAGCATTAGCTTTAACGTTCTTTATTAAAGTTTCCAGAACAGAGACGGTGCTGCCGTTTACCGTTTTTGTTGTTACGGAATGCATCTCCGTTTCTTAACTATTCAAGTTTGGTGATTGCCGCGTTGTGCTTACTGTAGTCTTCTGCCATTTGCAGTTTTTTAGGGTGTCAGCGTAAAAATATCCTTCTTCTCTATGTACCAAGGTGATGGTCATTGCACGCTGTTACCGCCTGTTACCGCTCCCGCCCGTCTTCCAATTTGGTCTATCAATAATGGTCGCAGGTCTTAGGTTGTGCTTCTCAACCAGGCGCTCACGGAGTTTCCTAATCCCAATATCATTGCTATGAGTCAAATTGTTGGGGTCTTAGCAACCATGTCCGATTGCTGATTCTCCTGGGAGCCAGGATTAGAATCTAACATGAGGTTTACTCATCTTTCCTGTTTCTTGTACACTTTTTGTAACCTATTTCTTCCAAGGAAAACGTGCACCACCTGGCCTTGAAATTGTGAAAACATAGTTCTCCATGTGACCTGATCCACCTGCTCTTCCTCTTGTACTATATGCATGCGTAAGGGTATGCTCTCCTTCTATATGCTGGATCCTGAGCAACGATTATAAATGCTTTATCTGGGCAACTCGGTTTAATAAGCTCGTCAAGGTCTTATAACAAGTTACATCCTTCAATTGAAGGCTGTAACTTGTTATAAGATAATACTTCAAATGTGTCATTGCCTGCTGAGGCTGCGCGAACTAGATCTAGTAGTAAGTGTCCACTTTGTCCAATATCCTGTTTTTCTAGGCTAATTTGCATGCTTACTGGAACCTTGTTGCGGAACGTTACGATCCACCCCCCCCCCCCCCCAGCCTCAGCAGGATGTACGCATTTCTACTAATCACGTTGTAGTCCTTATCCTTCGTAAGATAAGGATCTCTACTTATTCGGTACCTGAAGCAGCTCCTTCAATTTTGTCAGCATAGGCTTCCTCTCTCTTTAGGTAGATTCTTGCTATTTAAAACTGTGTATCGGTGGCATTCTTCACTCCTAGCGTAAGTGATGTTTCCAAGTGCATCTTGCGAAACTATGCCCTTTTCGATATCTGCAGTTAATTTCAAGCCTAAAGCACCTCATGTGTCTCTAGTGTTAAACAACTCACCGGTGCAGCGTGGCAGGGACAAAGATACGTATAGACTTCAAAAAACGTTTGCCTCTGACGTCATCAAATGCTTCCTTCGTCTCAGCACAAACAATATCAGTTGAAATCTAAAGCTTTAAAAAGATCTGCTAAATTGGATATAGAGGATAATGTTGAGAGAAAACGTTTGAGGAAAAAGCATGTCAAGACGCAATAATTAACAAACAAATAATTGAACCCTAAGTCATTAGTTGCAATTGATACTAATCTAAAAAAACTCCACGGCAATAACTTGCCTTCGCTTCGTGCCGGAGACTTAACCGCCTGAAGTACTTCTTTTCTATAAAAGTTGAATTAAACATTTTTGAAACATTTAGTCTATATTAACAATGTACATATATAAGTTACATTAAAACAGTGTCATCTTATAAATCTTGCAGCACAACTAGCGAACGTGGCAGCCTTAGCTTGCCATCTTTCTTTGGTCAGTCGGACAATTCGATAAATAACTACCAGCATGATCAGACTTTCATTAATACCTAAAAAGTGGCGACGTATTAGGAAAAACAACGGGGGGTAGCATTCGGTATGAAATGTGACATAATTAATTTTAATTTTTAGCACTCAAACGAAGTCTCGAAATGCAATTTCGATGAATTTGATGAATTTTTTAATTAAGATGGTGTCAGTGTTTAGAGAAAGTATTCATCTCTAAAAGCTATGTCTGACAAATATGCTGGGAGCTAGAGGATCTCCATCTGAAACCCCTGTCCCCTTACCACCGCGATTCTAACGCTGCGAAGTCGAGCGAGCACTCTCGTTGCAAGATGCACGGTTTTTTTCATTTACTGATCATCTCTTATTAATGCGGACTTTTTTAACATTACGTCCTCCAATCAATAACAGCAAACTTTGGCCGTAACTTACACGAAGGACGTATAAAGCTGTAATGGACGACGCCTGTATCAGGCCACTAAACACACACCACAAACGTTTGCAACTACACGTTTGCTTAACAGTTATGTTCTGCCTGCGGTCGGATCATGGAATCGATGTTTTGGCGCAAATCGCGAATATATGGGCAGAAAGAAACGAATGTCTCCGCATAAGTATTTTTCATCCTTACTCGAATCATGCAGCATTCATCGTTCACTTTATTATTTAATTGAAGTAAACAACTAATTTATTTCAACATATAACAAACTTAAGTGCTAACACCCGTTTGCTCTGAGATGGGTCTAACAGCTGTTAACTCTTCGTTGTTCAATTTCGTAAAGGGTCTTCCTCAAGATTTATTCCCAAGATTAAAGTTTCTTGCTCGGATACTATTAACTTATGATGTCCTTAAGAGTAGAACCTTCACCAAGGGCAGGCTTCTACCGTCGCTACGTTGTCAACATGGAACTCATATCCATAGCTGTTCAATAGTATCTCAACGGCTCATTGCAATTCGCTTACTAAAAAGCCTCGTGATGACATTCGAGTGAACGATTTCCTATTTGAAGGATTACAAGTACGTCTCGAGTATAAAAAAAAAGTGCCGTAAAATGTCACACCGTCATAAAGTGACACCATTTTAAAATATGAGATTCGTATGTTTGTTGCATTTCGCGCTGAACGGCTCTATATTTCAAACATTTTTTTCTTCTTTAACAAACCTACCGGTATAAGGATAGACGAATTTCGGCTGCCGTCAAATTCATGATCAGCTTCACAGAATAGGTCATCATGTTCTATCGCTGTAAGCGTTGCGCTGACGCTGTTTATTATCTCCTGGTTTAGCTATTGTATGAAGAGATGTATTTTTATTTGAACTCCACCTGAATCCTACCAAAACATGACAAAATTAAGTTTTCTCCTGTAGGAGACAAAAGAAGCATCCAAGCGCCCTGCGCCCTTGGTTCAGATAAACTTTCAACAGCTATCGCATCGCTTCAGGCTTGACGGTGGCGGGGACCGTTATTGCTATAGGCACTTAGTGAGGGGGAAAGGGACTAACGGTTGGCCGTTGTTCTTGTCGGGCACGCGCGAGGGCGCATTCCATTGTATCGCATTGGGCGAGCGGATCCCAGACATCGACAGACTATTTTCGTCATGTAGTTGTGGTTCCGTTCTCGCCACGGCTCAGGCTGCAGTAGTCTTCGACGCCGCCGCGTAGGCTCCTCGTCAGAGCGACATTGACAAAAATAACGGTTGCTGTAGGGTTCGACACTGTGAGGCCTCTTGGTCGCATGTATTTGCCCCGTCTTTATGAGCGACTTGCCAAACAGTTTTGAGAAACAACGATGTCTCGTCGTAATGTGTGTGTGCCATTGTGAATGTCATGTTTTACGTTTTACATAAGCTTGAAATAATACTGGAACTGAGTACGGGTGTAAATTGTTGCCAACATAGTTGCCCTAATATAAATATAGTGAACTACATGCGTGCTGTTCTATTTCACGTTGGATATCGAAATATCGGTGTTGGTAGTTTTTACAATATATCAAGTTGGATACACTCGTAGCTATACGAGAGCAATACGAACACTCCTTAAGAGCTTCGAGTAATGCGCTGAGGTAGGTTCCAGTTGGAAATATGCCGTTTTGTTCTTTACGTAAATTTTCTTCGTTGGGTGCGCGTCAGTCAGATCTGCTGTGGGTCAACGTCCGACCTTGATGCCTCTAATCTGTAGTACGTAACAAGCACAGATTCTAAATGCAACGAGAAGCCACAGGAGAAGAAAGCGCCACCTACGAAGTTAAGCCATGTTATTTGCTATATTTGAAGTTTTCTAGAGCTTCTATTGTCCCCGTAGTTGATTTGCGGCCGTGAATTACGCTCATTAGAGAAGTTATTTTTGCCAGGCGACTGCAGATAACTCTAGCAGGACGTTTTGGCCCACTTAAATGACAGGAACGATAATCTGTATAATAGAATAGCTTGTACAGATGTTCATATCTGCGATTGTCGTTGGTGCACGATAATAATATCTACCAGGCCAAAGACGCCTGACCATTTGCGTTTCGTATTTAAATAGTTGCGGAATAAATATTTTGACGCGGTTTAATTTCGAATCGGCCCATCCGAATGGGACCAACGCTGCATCGTACAGCCATTTACTGCTCCTCTGTATGTCAGATATTGTTCGGCACTGCACTTAGGGTACTCGAACGCCAGTTCACAGAACAACAAGAAGAGAAGTATCAATCGAAGTGTTAACAAACACTTTGAAGTTATTCAGTGGGGACTCGTATCTAATGTTAAAAAAGTTCAAAGCACTCCAGGAGCATTTATCGAGCAGATGAATTAGGTAATAATGCATACATGTAATATCCTAATAAAAATAACCATACTTCATTGACGACTTGGTGTCCCAGATGAAACGATTATACTTTGATCGGCCGTGTTATACGGTGCAACTGTTAAGGGTAAGCCGAATAAAAGAGGCCGCCACAAGCAGAGACGATAATGTTAAGCGGGGGGCATGAGGAAAGTGCAGGCGGACAAAAGAACCTTTCGATACCGAGGAGATTATGTTGCGTATTCAAATGCGACGCATTGCAAAATTTACGTTTCCCACGATAGGCCAACGTAGAATAGTACCCACTTTCTATAATTGTATATGTAAATTGCATCCGTCATGAGATATAACTATTATTACCTCAGTGAGATAGCGTTTAGCGGCATGATGTTATGTGTAGTCACGCGTCAGATCTACCTCCCGTGTACATATAATGCCTAAATTACTACTGTGATGTGTATAGGATAGATTATCTTGTATACGCTGCAAGCAACCAGCTGTATATAAATAGAAGTTACTAACCAGAGTGAACTTTTTTCGTCAGAATAACTAGGCGACCTCGCACTAGTCGAATTTTCAGATCGATCAAAGTTCGCCGCGGTTCGATCGCCGTACATGACAAATTTTATGCGTTTGAGAGTTCAAGTACCGATAAAGGCCTTAATCGCTCACTGTAGCACCATCGAGCAGACCTGATTTATCATACCTGCCATATGTTGGGATTACACTTTTAACACAGGCAGCGAAGAGTGGTGCGTTTTGCTCATTTTCGACACGCCTTAATCGTACATTTGGGAAAAACTATTTAAAAAAAGCTTTGTAAAAAATGTAACAACACGTTATATAAGGTATAAAAGTAATATCTTTATTTAAACAATACATTCGAACCTTGGCCGGTCCATCCGTCACTCTTCTCTATCACGATGCGACGCATTCGCATAGTGTCTTCAAAATGAACTTTGACAGCCGAGCCTCTACTCAAGGTCCCTTTTGTGCACATCTATTCTCCTAATCCTTGCCCATTGCTGCTGCTGTGTATAAAAAAGGAAAAATCCACTAAAATCGCGTTATTAGAATAACCACATTACTGAAAATCTAAAATTTCAATAAAACCAGCTAAGAAAAGCGTTTGGACACTCATACTAAATTAATTTCGCCGTACCCAGCGCCATCTGCTGGTAACAAACATAACTGCATTGAGGCAACGGTTAACATGATCAGAGCCGTAGAAAGCTAACAAAACTTTTCCAGCTAAATACTTTCGATATCTATATCAATTTTTTCGATAAATATATATATTTTTTATTTTCTGTCTCTTTGAAACCATCTACTTTTCTTCCTAGCGATATTACTATTATCATCGAAAACAGACAATCGATCCACAATGTCTTTCACAAGAATATGCATTAAGTAAAATTTCTAAAGCTATTTTGACTGTATGGGACAGCAGTTTGTCTTATCTTGGGATCACATCTGTGGATTACAGTTATGTTACCGAACTGCATGTTCCTATATAAGAAGCTGAGAAGACAAAGGTACTTTACCTATATGGAGTCAAATAATAGCGTGTGACAGTTGCTTCATTAACTATGAGACCGCTACGGCTAGAGCTAAATGGAGAAGCCTCCTTTTATACGTGCGCGAGTTGAATGGAAATCAAGCCCTTAAGTTCGAACGGCTTCCTTCGATGCGGGAGTTCCTCCCTGAAACGTATTTAAGCGTCACCTTTTCGACCATACAATACAAAGTATAGCGGCATTTCGACTGCTAAAATAGCCCTGATTTGTCAGTTAAACGATGCGCTATCTATCACGCAGTAATTGATTCCATCTATTCATCGGTGCAGGTGAATTGCGAACGATGATGCTTGGTTTTATTCTAATGGTCTAGAATGAGTTTTGCCTGTTTCCAGGTGATAGCCAGCTCTTTTTTACAGTGCTTAATATACTAGGCAGTTGCTCGACATGGTTGCTCCTATGTCTACCGTTCGTAACATTGTGTCGCATTTGCGTCGAACGAGAGATCTATTAGTTATCCTCTGGCATCGTACGCTCGTTTTTCCATTGTACATGCTCGTGTATTTGTGATGCAGCTTAGCAGTACTTCCTACCATTGTTTCGTATCCCCTGAATTATGTCCGATAAAAGCAGGGTGCGTCAACGGAACGTCGTTGTAAAGACAACAACAACAACAACAGCAGTGACGGCCCTAAAAACAAAAGCGTATTTGCCGCACCGAGGGAACGCTGTCGCAGTAGCGAATGATGGCGTAAATGGTACGCTTGACGTCGGCGAACGGGCTGGTCAACAGCGAGGCATCAATTAATGAGATCGAAGTATTCTGGTGCCAGTAGTACTGTTTCAAGTTGCTTGCGACGGGACCGGCCACTCAGACCTTAGCGGACCCGTCTGCTGGGGCAGATCAGCGCATCGTACGCTGGGTCGTGTCGGGAAAAGTGATTGACTTTGCGGACGAAACCCACACGCGACGTCGATCTATCAAATTATTACCAAATTTAGACCCCGTCACAACCATTCATTGGAATAGACAGGCCGATAGAAAAGGAGCTTGCATTTCCTCAACACAAAACAGATAAGAACTGACCTACGTAATAATGGAAAGAGGACAGGTCGGGAACATGGCAAATATAGTTCAGATTTTAGTTTCTCCGAATCCATGCCGACCAGAAAGGTAACCAGTAACTCTATACGTTTGTCATTTATTATTTTTTGAATTATGTTATGGCGTTCCGTGCTGTACGGGAACGACACATAAACTGTTTGTGGGGAGCTCGTTGTTCAAACAGCTAGTTTATGCGATAACTACAGGAAACGATTATGATTGTTATTAGTTATTATCTGCCATTAATATTGCTATTGGGAATAGGCGACACTCGAATTGAAGGATGTTAGTTCGCTGGCGTCGCCCTTAGTAACAAGGCCTATTCACTATTTTGAGTCACTGCTCAAGACGACACCGTCTCGTCTAGGACGCCTTTTCGTACAAAATCGGTAATATTGATTCGTAATAGCAGTGTATCTGACATACTCGTAGGTTTCACCTCAAAGTAGGCATAAGTTGTTCTAAAAATATTAAAGTATTTTAAACGTAAGGTAAACTTAGTTTTGTAAAGCTAGTTGCTCTTAGCTACACTGGATAGTATGAGACAAAGATCTTCGGTTCGACGAAATGAGATGGTTCATTGCTGTCGATGAGCGTGTTGTATTGGTGAGACCTATCTCTCTATTCTAAACATTTGCCCTTCGAAATATACTTTTGAAGTGTATATTATCAAACAAAGGGCTAATTTTTTGAAATCGTTATGCTATTTCCGGTCACGCAGACTGCATTTACATACAGTATATGATAAGCGTTTTTAGATCGTATCACTCCTGTTCGATACGTGCTCTGTAGTTCAATCAATTGTGATTGCCAAAGGGCGTGCCCAGCTTACTTTTCGTTCGAATTATGTACTGGGTCACAAAGGTATAGCTAAAAACGTATTCTGAGTAAAGGCAATCAGTTACCCGTACCCGCTCGATGCCTAGACGCATTTTAAATACAGTGCACTATAAATCACCGCTATTATCCTTATAATCCTTGTAGATATACAGATCAGCGCATCTCATATAAAAAAAAAATGACGTCGACGTTAATGCTAAGAAACGAAACAGATATCCTTAAGCTAATGCTAAAAACATCCTCTCTTCATCAACGAATGGATACATTTATAGCCGCTCGCTACCATTATCAACTAACTACGCTCTTTACCTGATCCTCCTGCCACAGTGACCACCATGCAAGGCATTATTAGAACAAAATTACTCAGCACAAAATATATAGCAACGATTTTTCCTTTTACTTGCCTTCATCCTGCCCCAGGTAATTGCCTGCGGTGGACACTTCTCGCTACGATAGCTGACGGCACGTAAACCGTGGACAACGGCGTAACAGGCCGATAGCAGCAGTAGTCATCATCATCGTAGCTGGTATTGTTGCGGCCAGAGAAACTGGTGTCAGGTACTTGCGTGTGAGCGCGTATCTGTGTTAGTTGTTCTGCCGCAATAGCAACAGCGGTCGTGGAGATGACCATTTTCCTCAACGTAGCGCTCATAATATATATTAAGTATTCAACGGTACCTACGCCCCGTCTCGGTTATTGTTCCCTGCTTCCAGAGTCAAGCAGCCAGCAATGTCTTTTGCACGGCACGTCATGTTGAAATAGCTGCTACACGAGCTGCGCTGCCGTTACTTCGGGGCGTTCGCTAATTCCTT